TGGCGACTCCATTCATTTTGGCCCGTCAACAATCTCCATCCTTGTCTTCTTCACCTTTTCCTCCTTGTATTGTATGGCACTCTACTTTCCTCTGGTTTGGGATACAATTAAGAGTAGAATTGATAATGCTTAGCTTCAATGATGATTTGCCTTAATCCTCCTATAGGTGATACGACCATCAATAGAACACCGAGGACAATGCAGATCTGAAACCAAGCAACCAACCAAAATAAGAATCGCACATGGTTTTGAAGCAAAAGAAAAGAATAAGGGAAAAAAAATTTAAATTTTAAGTTAACATACCCAGTTAGTCCACCAGGATAAGCCAAACCTCTTTGGTTTCTTGACAGCAAGCCACATTATGCAAGGAAGCTGAATAAAAGAACCAGGAGAATGTGAGTATTTGTATAAGAGTTTTGTGACATGGTAATCTGATGTAAATGGCATAGAGATATATGTTGCTTACGAAATATGATGTTGGGGCCAAAACAAATCCTCCGAAAAATCCCAGAAGGCCACCAAAGAAAGGGAAGGTTATGCCAATGAACATTGTGAATGCTGCAAAGAAGAAATTAGGTATTAATTAAAATCCACTAAAGCTTCATAAAAGGTAATAGGGCCTAGTTTTGCACTCATACAAGTAGATTTTCTTACCAACATAGATGTTACGTGCAACAAACCGAAGTATTCTGCTGGGTTTGAAATGAAGTTTCTTTACAAGCAGAGTCTCTATCATGTCAAAAACAGGCATTGCATAGATCTGAATGCACACATTTCAACCAAAATCTCGTAAATAATCTGTGGTGGACAAAATTATAAATAAAACTTGAATGAGAAAACTGAGAGAATGATTGATGTGTACCTGGTAGCCCCCAATAACATGAACAACAACAAACATGTTAGCCATTGCAATTAGCCAAGCAGGTTTCTGCAGTGAGATGAGGATGTTGTCCTCAACAGAGTTACCAAACATCCAATATCCAATCAAAGCAACAGGGAAGTAGCACAAGGCCACAACTATGTAGGCCACAATGACTCCCCTCCACATAGGACCCTTTGATGGTTTCTCAGGTGTAGAAGGGATTGTTGCTTGGATCTCCAACACCACGTTGTGTCCAGCATAGGCAAAAGCTACATCACCCAAGGCACTGAAGAAGTTAAACACTGTTCCAGCTGTGCTCTTAGCTTTGTAGCCATACTGCACATCCGGCTGAACACCCTTTGCAACTGAAGCCCCCCAAGCAATTGTAGAATAACTGCATCAGAAAACAGTTTTATTAATACATCAATTTCAAGCATGAATATTCAATCTTTTATTATTATCACTTTTTCAAAAATATGCTTTACAGGATGGGCTGTAAATGAAAAGTGAAGGTGCAGTTCAACTTATAAATTTATTAAAATACCCTTAATAAAATTATTTTTTATGTTATTTCATTAAGAGTATTCTAGTAATTTCATAGGTCAGACTGCACTTTTAGTGTGCAGTCCAACCTGTAAAACATGAATCCTTTTCTTTTTTTTGCATTTTTTTTTCTCTCTTACCTAAGGGACATGACTGCTGCTGCCAAGGAGATACCAGATATGGAGTTGAAGTTGGGGAGGTGAGACAGAACAAAGTGCACAGAGGCAAAAATCATGATGTAGTAGGTGAGTTTGAAGGAGTTGTCGGTACCGTGCACGGTATCATGGAACTTCTTAAGGGATTTTCCTCCACTAACCATGTAAACAATGCACACACCAACTTCAACAATGAGTTGTTGAGGCACCACAATGTAGAGACCAAGTTTTTCACCGAAGACGTATTGACCCAATTCATGATATCTATCGAACCGTTTTCCTGGAACCATCTCATGCATCTCTACCATTTGCCATAGAGTGTAGAGAGTGATAATCCATGACAGCACCAATACAACCACACCAGGACCCCTGAAACCAAAGAGAAAGGGTTAAATGATCATAGATATGTAGATTATCCCTAGATTGTCTGGCTAAAAAGAACCCTTTTCCTTCTTCTTTTATTATTATTATTATTATTATTTATTTTGTGCAGATCAGCTATCGAACATACCATCCGAGCTCTGACATGGCATAGGGGAGACTGAGGACACCAACTCCAACCATAGCAGTGACATTGTGGAAAGCTGAGTACCACCATTTTGCATTCCTTGATGAGGTAATTGGAAGCCAGTCATTGATTTCTTTCTGCTTGGCTAGCTTTTGATCAGTCTGTGATTGATGACGAAACATTTCCCCCATCAACTTTGATACAAATAAGAACGCATGCACACCCAAGTTTTAAGCACAAATTCATAATAAAACCAGCAGTCTTCCGAATTAGATTCTGAGTTCCTTACCAACCATACAATAACAAACAATTTTTTCAAAAAAGAGAGAATTATTTAGAATCAAACAATCAGAAAAGATAAAAGGTTACTTAATACTACCAAAACATGCCTTTTCATCCCTTTACATTAAAAAGAGTAGATACTTCGCCTAATGGCAAGCAGAGGGTAGGCTGCATGTGCGTTGTAGGCATCTAAAGATGTACTAGGATTTGGGAAAGGGTATCTATTGGCTATCTATTAGTCAATTGTCAATGTATGAGTAGATTCATAGTTGCTTGATCTAATTGCAAGCCTTTTGGATCCATCTACCCAATGGAGTGGTTCACACGTCAAAATGAGT